GAAGGTTTACTCCGTACTACATATTATGAAAAATGCCAAGAGAAATTAACTTCTGCTAATGGTAGTAAAATGCATATCAAATATAAATTACCTAAAGTTCATGTTTGCCAAGATAATGTATGTTTTAAAACCTCTTTTGTTTTAGTTACAAATATGACTGATAAAATTATCCTAGGTTCCCCATTTATATATTTATCATATCCATTTACTACATCTAGCACCGGAATCACTACACATGTTTTAGGTCAACCTGTCACATTTAAATTTTTATCTCCCCCTGAACTATTAAAATTAAATCAATTAAAAGATTGTTCCATTTCCCATAGAATTAGTTGCTTGACTCGGCATTTAAATTTTCTTAAAGAAGAAATTAATTATAAACGCATTGATCAACAATTAACTGATCCAGTTCTTATTTCTCAAATCAATGATTTCAAATTAAAACTTGAATCAACTGTGTGTTCTACCTTACCTACTGCATTTTGGCATAGGAAAAAACATGTAGTTACTTTACCTTATATTAAGAGTTTTGATGAACGACAAATTCCTACTAAATCTAGACCAATTCAAATGAATCATGAGTTACTTGAAATGTGTAAAAAAGAAATTAATGAATTATTAAACAATCGCATCATTAGTCCAAGTAAATCACCATGGTCTTGTCCTGCCTTTTATGTTAACAAAAATGCTGAATTAGAAAGAGGCGTCCCTCGCTTAGTTATTAATTATAAACCCTTAAATGCTGTTCTAGAATGGATTCGATATCCTATTCCCAATAAAAAAGATTTAATTAAAAGACTTAGTCAAGCTGTTATTTTCAGTAAATTTGATTTAAAAAGTGGTTTTTGGCAAATTCAGATTCATCCGAAAGATAGATATAAAACTGCATTTAATACATCATTTGGCCAATATGAATGGAATGTCATGCCATTTGGATTAAAAAATGCTCCTAGTGAATTTCAACATATCATGAATGACATATTCAACCCATTTAGTCATTTTTCAATTGTTTACATTGATGACATATTAATTTTTTCAAAATCCATTAGTGAACATTGGAAACATTTAACTGTTTTCTTTTACACAATTAAAAGTCATGGTCTTGTCATATCTGCTCCTAAAATTAAGTTATTTCAAACTAAAGTTAGATTCTTAGGTTATGATATTCATCATAATACTATTCTACCCATTAGTAGATCCATTGAGTTTGCGTCTAAATTCCTTAATGAAATTCTGGATAAAATCCAATTACAAAGGTTTTTAGGTTCCCTCAACTATATTGCTAAATTTTACAAAGACCTTCGCAAAACTTGTCAACCTCTATTTGATAGGTTAAAGGATAATCCTCCTCCTTGGTCTTCTGTTCATACTTCTATTGTTCAACAAGTCAAACAATATGTTAAGTCTCTTCCTTGTCTTGGTATTCCTACTGAAAATTCATTCAAAATTATTCAAACTGATGCTTCCGATATTGGTTATGGTGGCATTCTTCTTCAGAAAGTCACTCCTCAATCATCTAAACAAATTGTTTGCTATCATTCTGGTGTCTGGAATAAAGCACAATTAAATTATAGTACAATTAAAAAAGAAATTTTATCTACTGTTTTATGTATTCAAAAATTTCAAATGATATTTTAAATCAAAATTTTTTACTTCGTGTTGATTGTAAATCTGCTAAATATGTTTTGGAAAAAGATGTTCAAAATCTTGCTAGTAAACAAATTTTTGCCCGTTGGCAATCCATTTTAAGCATTTTTAATTTTGATATTACCTATATACGTGGTTGTCAAAATTCCCTGCCTGATTTTCTTACCCGGGAATTTTTACAGGGGGGTAAGGGATGACTACACCATTTACTTCTTACCATAAATCTTGAATAACCTATTTCAAAATCCAAATTAAACAACTTACCCATCGTATTTATCGCCTCAAAATAGCCAGACCAACCACCAAAAGAGCCCAATATATCAATTACCATCAAATTCAAGCCCATCGCAATTTACTTGCTCACAACTACAACTGTTTACATCGTCATCAAGATTATTTAGAACTTCTTTCTGGTTGCTAACCATTATTTCTTTCTCAACAGATGTCTCGTCCAAGGCCTCCCTCCAAGGCTTTGGCCTCATCCTCCAGTAAACCTAATCAACTTATTGTTCCTCCCCCTTTGGAGTCAATCACCCAATCTCATTCACTTGAAATGGTTAACCGTTACCAAACTCTTGGTAATATTCATCTTCATGTTTATTCATCTGCATTGGCCTCTGATCCTTTTGCATCTAGCCAATCAGTTTCCGCTACTCCATTCCCAGTTAACCCCATTAAACCATCTCGATCTGAATACACCAATTCACATGTTACTAACCTGTCTACAAAGAACCCAGTCACCCAAAAAATCAAACCATCAATGACATTGCTAAATTTCATTTTGGCTCTGGATGCCATTTCATCCTTTCACATCCAGAGAAAACCCTCTCATATTACAAAGATATTCTACTCCATCACCATTCAATTTTGATCAAACCAATCCAGGATCGAACCTATGCTTACAAGATCCTATATCATTCAATTTATATTCACAACATTGTTTCCATGGCTGAATGGGGAAACCCTAATCAGCTTCGTGATTTACCTGGTCATTCCATTCAATATAATTATCATGATTACATTGATGCTTGGTTCAAGATTTTCTTGTACCAAAATGAAACTTTCAGTCATTCTTGGCTCATATCATTTGATCAAAAATTCAAATCTGAAATACCTACCTGGTTTCTGAGATGGTGGACTCACTATGGCGCCATTTCAGATATCTTCCCTGATGATCTCAGTAAAATAATTCATTATTTTGCCACTGTTTACCCATTCACTACTCACCAACGACAATTTCCATTATTGCTAATTTTTATTTCCAAATACAGAATTCCATGGATATTCAAATGGCACTATGGGATTGATGATAACATCATCATTCGCCAACACACAGTCAAATGGTGGGTTAAGTTCAATGTGCCCAAAATTCTTGAAATTGTTCAAGAAGAATTCCCACCTGATCAATATGCTCCAACTCCTGCTCTTGCTAAGGCCCAGCAGAACCCAACTGCTGCAATTTCTCAAGGAAGTCAGCCCAGTCTTCCTCCAGTCAACCTTGGAAGCCCCTCATCCAGTGGTTCCAAGCCCAAATCAAAGTCTAAAGCTGTTGCTGCCCAGCCAGTCCAGTCAAAGCCCAAATCAAAGTCCAAAGTAAAGACAACACCCATTTCACCTCCTGCTCAGCCCAAAGTCAAGTCCAAGAGTAAATCCAAGTCATCCAAAGAAGATATGATTTAGTTAGCCCATCAGCTTTTGAATCAAGCTAAAACCCAATCCACTGATTCAGACAGTTCAGAAGAAGGTTCAGAACATGCCCACTCCTCTGAAGAATCAACCAATCAATGTTCAGGGCCAGAGTTTCAAGATGCCCAGGACCCATTTGCATAATCAACATTGGATTCCATATAGATACAAATTAGCTTCAATCAATACTCTTTTGAGAAAAGCTGTCAATTTGTATTTATATTGATCCTATTATTCACATGTTCCACCGAAAGTGATGAATAGTAAAAGTTACTGTTCACTTTTCCTGTTCACCGTCACTATTCACCCAATCAACTTTTGTTTAAAGCTGCTCAACTGTTCAATCAATCAACCGAAAGCAACCGACAGCATCTGCTTTGCCCCATGCGCTGCCAGCTGCTTTCATCAGTCAAATGCTGCTTTTCTTTTCTTTGTTTTGTATATATTGTAATCAAGTTGAACTCATTCGGCAGACTTGGAAATTTTAGAAACCTATATTCTGAAAAAACCCAAGAACTCTGAGTGATAAACCAACACCTTGTGCTGTAACCATGCAGTTCCTACTATTGTAAGTTAATGTAATATTTTATTACTTTAATGTTAATGTTATTTTCTATGTTTTATTAAATGTGCATTCCAGTTGATTAACATTATTTCATTGTTCTCTTCTCCCCCTTCATGTTCTCTCTTCGCCGGCGATGCAATCTCCATTTTCAAACTCAGATTCCGACAGCCGAAACCCCAAAGAGTTTGCCGGAATCTTACATCAACGCCGGTTGCATCCATGTTTTCTGAAAACCCGATCGAGATCATCGGAGATCCGACAGATCTGAGATAGATGCGGCGCTAATCTGATATACACAGAGGCGCCGAAGAAGACATCGGAGAAGACCCATCCGCCATTGCAAAAATGATCCTCACCCATCCGCTATGTTGATGATGTCTACCACTGATGTTGATGATGGATCGGTATGGATCTGCGCTGATGTTGACGATGTTGAGCATAGCGTTGATATCGCTGATGTTGATGATAGAACCAATGTTGATGATGTTGATCATGGCCCTGATGTTGATGATGTCTGATGTCGCTGATGTTGATCACGGCGTTGATTCACTGATGTTGATTATGGAAATACATGTATAATGTTGATGATGTTGATCATGGCCTGATGTTGATCTGTAATCCCTAGTTTTTCCATTTCAAGCTTTGGGTATAAGCGTAAATTACACATTGTGAAATCCTAGATTTGTCCTGACTATAACTTCCCACACGCGATGTAACTTGATTAATTTGGTCATTAACATTGGGGTAGGATCTAATGGTTCATAAGAAAATTAATAAGACCAAATGGGCCATAAGATACAAATTTGAGATTTATTGGTACATTCCCCAATTATTAAATCGAATTAATTTTTTTCATAAATAATATATATTAAAAATCTTAGAAAATGAACAATTTAAATAATTAAAATAAAATTTATGATAAACCCTATATACTCTTTAAATTCACTTGTATTGAGATCTCACTATAAAACAACCTAATCATTTTATTAACAACACACAAATGTGTACTTTCCTTCCAATTTTTGTGAAACAAGATAAACAACAGTTCAAACAAAGCCCGCCCATCCAATTTCCTTTTCCAATCTCTCTCTCTCTCTCTTCGATGGCCCGAAAAGTTCGCACAACATTTGTCGTGGTGGTGGCCACCTTCGTCTTCTTGGCTTCAATCTATCATCATCTCATCCGCGATCACCACCCAATAATCTCCTCTCCAGAACCACTAATCTATCCCCAAACCACCTCCAATTACGCAATCTCAGAAGACCAACAACCAGAATTACAATCAGAATCCGAACCAGAACCAGAATCAGAACAAGAACCAGAACCAGAACCAGCCACTCACCAGGTCAGCCGCCACGTCCCCGCCGTCTCGATTCTCCTTCCATCTTGGGAAGTCCTCGTCATAGTCTCGCCGGAAATTCCGCCGCCTTCCGGCCACCACTGCACCTGCCTCTTCCACGACACCGATTCCTCTCCGGCCAAACCTTCCGGGACTCTACCCTTTCCCAATCGAACCACGTTTATATGCGAATTCCCGGCGAGTCTGCGCCGTCAATTCCCTTTCGTCCAGCCTATCCTGACCACAAAATCTCTCGAGAATCCACCGGAGAGAGCAACTCCGGCGCCGGAATTACTCCGGTGGAACTTCCTCGTCTACCAATCGCTATCCACCGAGAACGACGTCGTTGTCTTCGTCAAAGGCATCAACAATCGCCAAGGGATTAACCGATCGCCGAACCAGCTCCGATGCGTCTTCGGCGACGACCTAATTAACGGCGTCAAAACCTCCGTTACTTCCTCCATGCAAGAGGTGTTCCGGTGCCAACCCCCACCGGAAGAACTAACGGCCGTTTCGCCAATCAAAATCTCGCTCGAAATTTCGGATCCAAAAAAACGTGCCGTACTTGTCCCCTCCGTGGCGTACTACACTCCCCCGCGCAAGATAGCCATTCAGCAGCAAAAATCTCTAATATGCGCATGCACCATGGTGTACAACATAGCAAAGTTCTTAAAAGAGTGGGTGGTGTACCACTCGGAGATTGGGATTGAGAGATTCATATTATACGATAACGACAGTGACGATGAATTGGAGAAAATCGTTGAAGAAGTCATTCAACTCGGCTATAATGTGAGCACGTTGTTTTGGCCTTGGCCTAAGACTCAAGAAGCTGGGTTCTCTCACTGTGCTATATCGTCCAATAAAGATTGCAGATTTATGATTTATATCGATGTGGATGAGTTCGTTTACTCTCCTTCATGGCTCAAATTTTCAAAACCATCAGATCAAATTCTAAAGTCTCTCTTGCCAAAATCATCATCATCTTCAGTCGGGCAAGTAATGATTCCATGTTTCGAGTTTGGGCCATCAAATCAGAAATCACACCCGATAATGGGCGTGACGCAGGGTTATAACTGTCGGAGAAGATCTGATAACAGACACAAATCGATAGTGTTGTTGGATGCGATCGACGTTTCGTTGCTGAATGTGGTTCATCATTTTCGATTGAAGAAAGGTTACAGGTCGAAGAAACTGAGAAAAGAAGATGCGGTCGTGAATCACTATAAGTTTCAAGTGTGGGATGATTTTAAGACTAAGTTTCGGAGGAGGGTTTCGGCTTACGTGGCGGATTGGACGCAGAATGGGAACCTGAGGTCGAAGGATAGGACGCCGGGGTTAGGGTATGCGCCGGTGGAGCCAAGAGGGTGGTCGGGGAAGTTCTGCCAGGTTTACGATGATCGGTTGAAGGATTTGACCAAGAGATGGTTCGGGCTTGAATCGCCATCTGGGTATCAGATGGCTTGGCAAAGATGAAGCAGATGATGATGATCATAAGCTCTATACAATTCAAATGGTTTTGTTTGCTCTATTCGTTAGGTTGTAGATTAGATGAAATGGGTGTTATACTATATACACATAGGAAATGAATATATATAGGGGATCGGATGTGAGTTATTTTTGTTGTCTTTTAGGTTAGAAGAGAAAGTAAATGTTACCATTATACCATTTTTGTTGAAACCAGGGGGTTTGAGTTACCAATTGAATTTGGTTGGCTGAGTTTTGTTTTTTATTTTTTTTGTGTTTTCGGAAGTAAAATAATAAAAAGTACACCCATTTTCTCGTCGTTTTATTTTTGTTTTTGAAAGCTGTTTTCAAAAGTTCAAAACAACTTTTTTATAATTCAAAAAGACAATGCCCTTTTTCAAAAAGATAATAAAAAAGATATATCAAAACGATTTTTTTTATGGAAAAAATGTAAAAAAAATATAGAGAGATGATGTAATTTAAAAAAGTTAAAAAGTCAATAAACTAACTTTAGCTTGCCAAAAGAGGCCATAGAAGAGATATATTTGGCTAAGCTGAAGTTTTTTTCTTGCCAATTACTCAATTTAAGATAGAATTGACTTGATCATTAAATCACTTAAGCTGATATCTATAAAAAAGTATTTAAAAATATATATATTGTTGAAGGCCCTATACTTTTAAACGCTTAATTTGACAAGACTTCATTTTAATATTTAATTTGAGACCCGTAAATCGCTAATGATTTAGGACTTATAAATAGGTTACATAACAAAGCATTACTCCTATTTGTTTTCATTAATTTTGAACAAAGGAATGAGACAGTTATATTCGAGGAGATATAAAGTAGAGAAAAGTGATATATGACAGACATTTTTGTAAAAAATAATGGAGATACAATATCTCTTTGATGTATCATATATACTTCATAATTATAAAATAAAAAAAGAGACATAATTTTATACTTTTTAAGTCATAATTAAAAAATATATATAAAAAAATCATAACCAACACAAAAAAGTTATTATAACTAAAATTTCAAAATAATGTCATAATTAAGAAAGAAATTTGATTATAACTAAAAAAAAAAAATGGCATAACTAACGTTATGTTTAGTTAGGAGATTTATGAAAGAATTGAGAAAAACAAAATAAAAGGGCGTGTGAAACTAGATGAGATATAAATATATTTTATTCACATTTTATTTACTTTTTTTTTCTTTTCAAATTCCTTTCTAAATCTTCTAACTAAATCTTCTAACCAAACACAACGTAAAAATATATACAATATAAAATGTGTACAATAGAATTCCCCACTTTTCTTTTTTGCCTCTTCCAGATTGCAGTGAACATCATTCTTGCATATTTTTATATCACATGTAATGATTTGGCGCAACAAAATTAGTGGACTTTCGAAAAAATAATTATAGATTAATAGTAATTTTACCAACATTAATAAGGTCTCATTTAAGAATATATTATTTTAATAATTTTTAATTTTTTATTAAGACATGAGGAATAAAAAAATATTAAAAAAAATGAAAAGAAAATAGAATCTTTGATTTTTTTTTTTTTGTATAGTTTGTTATTTTTTAATAACTTTTTAACTTTTAAACTAAAATGATAACTTCCCAAACAAGTCCTAATTGAAGTCATAAGTTTTTTTTAATGAATTTGTAATTATTTTTTAAGAAGTATAAGAATTATAATTTTTCCTAAAATTAAAGGAACATAGGAGGAAATAGCAAAAGAGGTAGAGGATTTGGATCCCTTCAAAATGTGAGTTAATTTAAATTAAAAAAAATCAAAAATAATTTTGAAAATAATTTGTCAAATACTTTTTTATTAGTACCTTCAACTAAAAGAAAAGCATAGAGCAAAAACACAATAAAAAGGACCAGATTTTCATGACTAATGGCATTAAACTTTAGTTAAGGAGAAGATATTTGGTGGTCTTGGGACACAATACGGTGTTTTGAATGAGTTGTGATTGATAAAAAGAATGAGACTTATAAATTTATATTGAGTGATTGAAAAATAAGAAAATGTATAATAAATTATAGGGCCTTGTTGGAGCGTGTTGTTATACTCATGAGGCCCACCACAAGATCCGTTTTGATAATTCGAACCGTTCAATGTGTAGAACTCATCGAATACTATATGTCTGTAAACAATTATGTTGATCAGATATCGATAGTTACATCATCAAATTAGTTTTGTATATAAAAAAAAATAAACAGTAAAAAAATAAATGATTGATAAAAAACTGATCCGATGAGATAGTTATGAATATCTAATCAAAATAATTTATTTACAAATATACAATACTCAATAAATTATACACATTAAACAATTTAAATTATCAAAATAAAATACATAATAAATCTCACGAGTCCAACAATACCTTCTAATTTGATCTGGATGGATGGAAAGCCAATGCCTAAATTATAATTGGTCAAAGACAAAGTCACATCTGTCTCGAATTACGAAATTGTTTTTCTTAGTTGAGAGGGGAGACAGCTCCACCACTGTTTAGAAACCAATCACAGCATGCCATGTAGATAGAAATAGTTTTTCTTAGTTCACCAAGGATCCTCTAGAGTGAAATTTTTCTAAAGTTTCTTAAAGTGCTACATTGTGTGCTTGAGATTTACTGGCAAGTCACATCAATTTTTCTGATGTGACTTGCCAATAAATCTCAACCACACAATGTAGCACTTTAAGAAACTTTAGGAAAAAATCACTCTAGAGGATCCTTGCTCTTCTTAGTTAAGAGGTGAGACAGCTCCACCACGTTTTAGAAACCAATCCCAGCATGCCATGTAGATAGAAATAACTTTTCTTACTCAAGAGGTGAGACAGCTCCACCACCTTTTAGAAACCAATCCCAGCATGCCATGTAGATAGATTTATGTCTGCTATATGAAGAACAGGAAATTTTGAATATATAATTAATGGGGAATTCATAATTGAGATTTTTCTAAGGCACCTCGCCTTAATGTAGAAAGTGGAGGTCAAGTCATTTCTGTGATGTGAATTTAGATTTTGGTTCAATCATTTAAATTTAGTTGGTTTTGGATTGGACAGACCAAACAAGTGGGTGGGTGTGGTGTGGTGTGGTGTGGTGTGTGATGTTGTGTTTTATAAGTTTTAGTAATGATTCTGATGTCTCATTATTGATGGTTTGTTCTAGGGTGTGTGATTGTGCCATGTCTCCATCAGTTAGGGTTAGTTTGACAAATTTTAATACTAATTTTTTTTTTTTTTGGGGGGATAGTTTTTTATTCCAAATCTTTTGTCATAATTCTTTGTCATGCTTCCTGCAGTACTTCCAAAAGAATTTTTGTTTTGCTCTCAAACCAAAGAGACACCCCATCCAAAAAATAAAAGCAGAGAGACAAAGAGGGATGGGAAGCGATGACTGTGGCGGTGAGGCCACATTCAATTCCTCCGACTCCATTTCTCTCTCGTTGCCAATGACCCAACTACGCCAATCGTTTACATCAGCAATGGTAATGGGTTTGAGACTCCAATGAAACCTTGTGGCAAGGGATTGATACCCAAATTTTCACTTCTTTGAAACTGGGTGTCAAAAGCTTGAATTTCAGCTCTCATACCCGTTACCATTAATAGAAGGATCACTCACACTCTTCAAACCACCAAACCCATATAATTTTTTTTATAAGAAACCCCAGACCCATCATTTAAATTCTCATATCAACATAGTTTTTATGTCTAAAAACGTACCCATTTGTTACAAACAAAAATCCAGAGCCTAAAAGGCTTATCCAGCGATTCGAGCTTGTCAAACTCATCGACCATGCACCGAACGTCGTCATCTGAACTGATCAACACTAGAGGGGTTTCATCGTCGTCTATTGGGATTGGTTAAAATCCGAAATCTTTGATTGGAGCCTTGAAAAGCCGATGTAAACGATTGGGGTGGTTGGCTCGCTGATGACGAGAGAAAAATGGAGTCAAAGGAATTGAATGTGGCCTCACCGCCATAGTCGTCACTGCCCGTCCCTCTTCCCTTTTCGTCTCTCTGATTTTCTATTTTAAATGGTTTGAGAGTTGAAAAAAAAAAAAAAATTTGGTCCAAAACGATGTCGGTTTGGGAAGCATGGCAGTGAACCATGGCACAGGATCTGGACTCATAGTTTTTAGGGTAAAAGTATTGTGGAATAAAGTGATGTGTTTGGTAAATATTTAAAAAAAGAAAATTATTCTCACCTTTTTTAATTTTTTTAACAAATACAATTATTTTTAGATTTGTAATATAATTATATTAACTTTCCATTTTACTGAAATTAATATTAATGGTTGGTAGGTAGATACTGAAATAAACAAAAATAAATATACATTTTAATAGAAAAGATGTGATAATATCATTATTTCATTCATATAACTAACAAATTATTGATTAAAAAAATAACTGAAGTGTTATGTGAATTAAAATTTGAGAAAAATTAGTGTAATTATGTCAGAAGTGTATGACTAATTGTATTTTTTTTTAAAATCTTATGAGAGGCGAGTGTAATTTATTTATAATTATTTTAGTAACTGTCCAAAAAGAACAATTGCTAAACCTCCTGTAGAAAGTTGAGTGGGTCCATTGAATTTTTTTTTTTTAGCCGAAAACAACTTAACTTGATAATTTCACCTAATTAACTAAAAATAGTTTAAAATGAACAAACCAAACACATCCTTAATCCCTGAGAAATGTGATGCCTTGTGATTTTGCAACTATCCTTATTTTTATTCCATAATATTCATCCTCTTCAAATGCCTAAACAGTTTCACTGTCATGACCATCCCCTTAAAGAATTAGGGGTCAGTTTGGGCAGCATTTTTGTCCTTTTTTTAATTTTTTTGCAACTTTTAATATAATATCAAAATTTTTAAATTTTCATGGATTTTAGACTAAAAGCCCTTAAAAATTTTCAAAAACAATATATTTTTGGAAAAAAAAAACACAAAAAGACCAACCCCAGACTAACATATACAAAACAA